GCTTTGATTTCGCTTATATATGACTTGACTTGACTTGATTTGACCTTTGCCTATCTTCAGTGCTATGCCATGCTCATGATATATGTCTTCGCAACTCTGGCTCCTTATCGATAAGACTGTGCTATTCTCCATGTCATTCTCCCTATGAGTCTTCCTTTGTTTATCTGTGCCAGCATGTTACTACGCTCAGACAGTGCGCTCTCATAGTCGATATGCTGCTCATTTTGCGCCTATGTTGCGACTCCCAGCACTCTACCCGCTTCCATCAAACCCCGCGACACGCACATTTTGAACCAGGTATCATTGTCCAGTCAGCTTCTGCGCCTGCAATTCGTTTTGCTCAGCCTCTTCTGGCTGGATATCCAACGCGACCAGCGCAGTCGAATGAAGGACGGCAGGACAACTTTGACTTACTTTTGGAGAACGAGCACGACAACCGCCGCGACAACAACCGAGGAGCTATCGTAGCCCTTACGCGTGGCCACTCACTGATCAATAAGAAGCTAGACGTCGACTTCACCGCAGTGCAAGACGTCTCGACCATCCAGGCTATCACCAAGCACGCTACGTACGTCCGTCCACGCGCTCCATGCCTTTACAGGCTGACTTTTGACTAACAGGGTGCTGTGCTATCAGCACACTCTCCTCCGTCACCACCGCACTCTGCTCTGCCACTCCGAAGTGAGACGAACACGTTCCCGATGTATACGCTGCCAACCGTTCTTAACACCGCGCGAGACACCCACTGTTTGAACGACTCAAAGGTTGCCGTTGAAGTGCGCAAGATCGGCAGACAGGGAATATACCAGCATGCGGGCAGGGATGCAGGAGTTGCTGAGTGCATACACAGGGACTCTGGACCTGCTTGACTCCCATGCTGTCTTGCGCTTGGAGGGATTGGGCAAGGCTCATTCGGGTATACAAGAGGGTTTATCAGAGGCAAATAGCCTGCATACTCAAATACTGAGGTCAGAACGGGCTGGAACAGATATAGTGGTAGTAGTAACAGAGGCAAGGACAGGGGCAATCGACATCACAAGTTCTCAAGTAGATCAATAGAAGTGTAAACATCGGTTAAATAACCAAAGCGCTATGCTACAAGAAACGGGTGTATATACACAAAAGAAGCGAAACAGTCGTCGTATCCAACGAACGAACCATCAAAAGGTAGTCTCTCTCAGAAGAAGGGTATCCATCAAATCATATCATCCCCAGCGTGTTTGCTCAACGCTTACAAGAAAGAGCGAGCGTGGCGGCGGGCCTTGGAGGCAGAGCCGCTGGCCTTGCCCTCCAACCAGGTGATGAAGGTGTCGATGGTGAAGCTCTCGGGGAGGGCGTCACCGCCGGTGGAAGGAGCAGCCGAGGGACTAGCGGAAGGAGCAGTGGAAGGCTCGGCCTCGGGGGTAGCGATGGGGCTGGCGGAAGCAGCGGGGGTGGAAGGGCTGGCGGCGGGTGCAGAGGGGCTGCTGCTGGCGCTGGGAGCAGTGGAAGGAGTGCTGGGCTTGGTGGGTGTGGTGCCATTGCTGGGAGCGCTGCCAGAGCCGCCGGAGCCGAAGAGAGGAGGACCGGGGACGGTGTAGTCGATGTTGGCGCCGTAGGGGCTGAAGAGGATACCGGGGTCGGTGGGAGTGTAAAGCTCAGTGCCGATGACGCCCTCTGGGGTCTCAGTTCCGGAGCCAGTGACCTCGATGTTCAAGCCTGGAGATTCAATTAGAAATTGGTTCTTCATGTGATTAGTGGGGTATTCTTACATTGAGGGTAGTTCTGAGCGCCGTTAACGTCACCACCGCCGTGGAGGGCGATGATCTCGTGGCGGAAGACGTACTTGCCAGCGGCAAGGCTCTCTGGGACAGTGACGGGCCAGGTGTTGTTCTGGCCAATCATCTTGACGGCAGCCCACTCGCCGTTCTCGTAGCCAACACCGTCGATCTTGGTCCACTTGAGCTCCTCCTTCTTGACGGCGGTAACGTCGCCAGTGTAGGGAGCGACGTAGGTGATGACGGGGCCGACGTGGCTCTCGGGCCAGGTGCTCCAGTGGAACTCAACCGTACCACCAGCGGCGACCTTGGCCATGCTGTCGGAGCTGCCCTCGGGGCTGGCGGCCTTGTGGCAGATGATGTCGGCATCGCCGAAGGAGTTGGGCTCGACGAAGCCGTTGTCGAGGTTCTCGGCGTACCAGCCAATGTGCTCTGGCACCTGGCCGCCGTTCTGCTTGGCGTAGTAGTAGTCGAGGCTGAAGCCCTGCTGGAAGACACCGTCGATGGTGACGCCGTTGACAATGCCGTGGGCGGTGGCGGTGGCAGCGAGAGCCGCGATGGCGCTGAGGGAGGTAACGGTCTTGTACATGTTGACTGATGTAGATGGAGTTCTTCGAAAGAATGCAGTTGGTAGGTTCGATAGAGACGAAAGTTTGAAAGTGGTTGAAAGAGTGTCTGCCGGCTTCACACAGTGAAGGACTTGATGAACGAATGTGAGTTGAAAAGAAGGGACTGGTATAGAACCGAAGATTGAAGCTGTAGCGATGGTGCTTGGAGTGAGGTACCAGGTGCCCTATTTATTCGGTTCAGTCTCTGCTCCTACAAATGCTCGGCATACATCGACCCACATCCTGGGCGACTCGCAAAATGAGAGCCCAGAATGGTGGGTTCATGCCGGGCGCGCAGGAATATGCATCCCGCGTTGTTTGAATCGCCATGTTTCCTGTTGCGGAGAGACAAGCGACATTGTCAGGATGCGCAGGCCGTTTCCTGCCTGCAGCCAAGAGCCATCCCACGGCTCCGGACCAGTTCCAGAATCACTGCGCCCTGCCACAAGCCAGTTCTCAGTCTCCGGTATGCATCGTACGCAGCGTATTCGTCGTCATGAATCGTTCCGGTCGGCGTTGTTGTGGTTTCGGGTTCGAGCGATAACGTGCAGCGGGGCCGCGCGAAACGTGCATCCCGCGTGTTCCTGGATCCGCCCTTGCATAGTAGACGCCGCCAAGAGCTTAGTTGTTTCTGTCAAACGAGGTGCCGAGAGCGCCCCATTTTGTGGCGCCTGTCAGATGTCTAGATCCGATCGTGCTGGGTTGGTAGATGTGGTGTTGATGAACGGTAGGGTTGACGTTCATGCCCTCGATCGATGGCGGGCTTGAAAGGTAGGTCAGTAAGACGGTCCGGCTGCCGAACCCAGCTGCCGTGACCTCATCATGTCATCCCATCTCCAAGACACTCCGACCGACCAAATTTGTCGCATGCAACACCAAGCTTCCTTCGATCCTGCACAATATCCACACCGATGTTGTCGACTCGTCAACGTTGCGCGCGCAACCGTTATGCACCCCTGACAGCGCAACCGATCCTTGGGGCCCACCACCGAACTTCGCGTGTGCAGCCTGGTTTCAGACGTGAAACGGCCAATATTGCCCCCAATGGTAGTGGACGGAGATGCGCCTAGATCGAGGCAGGCGTGTTTGACGACATCGTCGTCGATATTAATCAAGTCGGGTATTCGGGGGCGGCGCTTCTTGGACGGCTGGCGGTGCAACTGCATGTCAGGCGCGGCGCCGTCGACTTTAACATCTTTCTACCTCTGTCTTTAACCGTTCTGCCTTTTAGGCTGTCGACGTATATGGTGTGGGCCTGAGGCTGTTTCTTCTTCTCTATGTCTCAAACGTAGCTCGTGATGAACATCCACAGCAGGTTGGTATGACGGAGTGCCGTCTCTCATCTATTCCAGTGCGTACCTCTCAGTCAATCTCATAGTGTGCTGCAGCCGGGGTCTATCTGGCCCCTTCCAAGCTGTTATACTGCGTTTCCTTTTCTGGGGTGTAGGCCCTATCTCCACCGCACATATTGCCAATACTCCTCTTCAGATTTCCCTGTCTACATTAGGCTGGCCTGTTCATAACTGTCTGTCAATGTAGCGTCCTTCAAAGACCTCGCGGGTATGTCATTTCGTCGTTGTTTCCAAGGTGATGGTGTGACGTAGTCGTAATGTGCCGTCTAACAACATCAAAACACCGCACTGGGCAGCCAGCATCTCAGTATCTCAGCATGGCATGCACCTCCAGGCAACGTCGTTACAATCTACCCGTCACCGCAAAGCTCCTCGAATACCTCCACGCAATCTCATCGCACTGCTGTCCCTCAAGTCAGAATACAATGTGCCCTCCCCGCCGCTCTCACTTATGGCACATATGCCGCGTAAACCCTCTGTATTCCATCAAAACAACTCAACCCGGGTCTCTTAGTGGAGTGGTAACACGTTCACCAACAGTTCCTGTGAGTACAGAGTGTCAGTTGACGCTGGCACCATCAGTGTCCCGGTCACTTGACTGGTGATAGCTGTGCTTTGCAGTGTTTGTGAGAGACGCTTGTTCGACTCAAGCAGAGACCAAGTATATCATCTTTTTTTGCTGCCTTTACGTACGTACGTGAGTCAAGGTGAAGGGCAACTGCGTTTGCATAGATGTGCCGCTCCAATTGTGATTTTCGCTGGCGGCTTTTTTGGGGTGAAGGACAGTGCATTTTTTTACCGACGTTGTCTTCAGTTTTCCACACAACTCTAATTATTCTATATGTATTATGGAGCCGGCTCGCTCTTCATCAAAACACACCAGGCTTCTTGGTCTAATGGTATGACGACACAGACCGACAGGTTCTCCGTCAAGGTCATTTGTATAGTATGTGTATTGAAGGTAACTTCGGACCTGCTTGGAATGCCATCGTGACGCGCCCTACTTGTGTAGATCAAGGTTCGATTCCTTGAGAAGCTATCATTTTTTGCTTGTGTAGACGTTCCGGATCATGTCTACATCGGCTTGCTTTTTGCTCAAGGTCTGGGGAACTTTCTCTTTTGAGGAATACGATGGCGATGGAGGTTGAGTATCTATATCTCACGACGTCTATGTAGTCCCTGCGGTCCTTTATACCTTGTTGTTGCGCTGGTTGTGTTCTTTTTGTATCCTGTAAAGCTTGTTGTGGTATGGCACGCGTTGATTGAAAAGTATACGTAAGCGGCTACTCCAACCAAGCCTGCAGGCCGCCAACCAGCAAAACAGCAATACCCAACACCCACTGCGCAACCCCAAAGGCACCCTGTACGTCGCCCTTCCTAACCGTCCACAGAATCGCGAAGACCGTACTTCCCAAGCCGCAAACGCCCATCATCACTGCCCACACGCGCTGCGCAAGAAACCCCTCCACGAGATGAACGCCCCACCCCATACCGAACTCCAACCGCTGTCGTCGTTTCGGACTGCGAAGATACGTGATCAGCTCGCCCTCATAGTCCTGCGGGTGCTTGAACAAATGGAGGAGATACGTGCTGCCAACAGGCGGCAGGAGGTCGTTGGGCTCGAAGGTATACGGATGCTGAGACGGCGCTGCAGACTTCTCTGGCTCGCTGGTCGAAGCTGAAGACGCAGCGGACTTGGGCGGCATAGACGGCGTCGCACGTATATCGGCGAAGCGATTGCGATGGACTTCGAATTGAACAAACTCGATGGTCGTCAGCCCGCGAAGACGAGCCCAATTGAACCACCGTCGGTTGAGCTGGTCGTAGTGCTCTCGGAGTGCGAGCGCTAGGTCCTTGTCGCTTCTTACGCGCCCTTCGTTGACGTCGAGATGGACGATCTTGGGTGTTAGGCGGCCTTCGTTCGCACAGGTCAGGAGCCAGGATTCTTGGACAAAGGACGGCATACGGACACTGAAGGGGTTGCTGGCGACGATACGGGACGGGCTATACTTGGAAGGATCGCTGCCTCTAGTCCAAGAGTTAGGCCCGCCGTATGTCGACGACGGCGTGGTCAATGTGGACGCTCTGCTCGACGAGTCAAATATGGAGGCCATCGATGACGCGGTGCTGCTTTGGCTGGTAGGACTATGTGGTGTATGAGCTTTTGGGCGATTGAGATAAGCTTCAAGAAGGCGGGCAGCATTGGGTCGCTGTTCGATAAAGTCGTCATACAATGGCTCACCGCATGACTACATCTTGTTAGCATGGTCCTGAGAAAGAGTATGCTGAACTACTGACGCAAGTCCATCGCACCCGCACATGTCCCTGCGGCACGGGTGGTTCAGTACCGAATGTATCACGAAGCAATCGAAAACCTTCATAGGCTTTGTCTGACAACGCACTCAATGCAAGACCCCAGTATCTCAATGTTGTGTTTTGACCCCCAGAAGATGCCGTCCGTATTTCCGCTTCCGGAGGTAGCGGTATCTCGCCGACATGATCGTCAATTGGTGGCTCAACGATGGTGGGCACTGCAGGCCTTTCGAATTCCTCGTCAAGATTGTCGTTTCTCGACTCGATTTGATCTAAAGCTCTTCTCAGTGCTTCGCGGAGTTCATCTGCGCGACTCGCTCCTGCTGACTGGGTTGATAGCAGTGCATTAGCGTCCTCAGTATCTATTGACGAAGAAGAGGATGATGCGTGCTTCCGTATTCTAGGTGATCTCTTGCGGCGCGTCGCTGGCGACACATGAGCTGATTTGGTCTGAGGCACGTCGGTGTTCAACCGTAAACCATGTTTGGGCCGAGAAGGGACATGCAGGTCGTCTGCTGATGCATGGCGGAGATGCCGCGGCTTGGCCGCACTCGTATGTCGCACTGGTTGCGACCAGGTGGCATACTCATCAGCCGCTATATCAACTCCACTTGACTGTCGAGACACCGGACGGATGCGTTCCCGCAAAGTAGTCGAGTTCACCAAATCCTCTACAACTTGACTATCGGATACAAAGGTTGTCTGTCCCACGCGACGCTTGACGGATTTGCGAGCATCCGATCGTTTGAGGTCTAGGTTCGCCGCTCGGCTTTTCACACGGGCACGCGTCTTCTTCTTCTCGACACCCTTTCGTACAGGCCCAACGAGTGACAAACCGCGGGTTGGCGTCTTCACGATACTGGACACTGAGGCTGACCGGGTAGGAAACATTGATGGGGTCTGAGACGACGGTTCTGCATCAGTCTGATCTTCATCCATACGGTCGTATATCGAGCGGATGTCTGGTATCAGAGTCTCAGCATCACTGAAGCCATCCTCTGCAATCGAAGTCCGGGCTAGACTGTTGCGCGACAGATGACTCCTTGGTGGAATCGTGAACGGCGGTGATCGTTGGATGCCTGATGTGTTGGAAGTACCGATCTCGAAGATATCGTCGCGACCCAAAAGACTGTCGGTATTTGATGCAACAGCTGAAGGGGGAGAGTACAGCTCCGCAGGCAGAGCCGCCGAGTCAAGCTCTGGAGTCGCAAAGACCCGTTCTGAGCCAACCGCTTGACCCAAATCAACTTCGGCAATCTCGTTCGAATCGGTTGAGCCTTTCAACAAGCGCACCACGTAACCCTTTCCTTTCTTCTTGATCCTGGCCTTGATGTCGGTAAGTCGTTTGGATTGGGTGGAAGCCGTTGAGTCGCTCCGCGAGAAAGACACATTCCAGTCCGGCACTACCTTTTTGAGAAAGTCAGGAGGCACATTGTCCAGGTCGGCCCAGCCTTGCCTATCGTGGAGAGGAGTGCTTGGCGGACTCGTCTTTTGAGGAACTGAGCTATCGACACTAGACTTCAAGCCATCTCGTAGAGTCGTAGACGCGGCAGCATTAGGTGCACAGCTCAGAGGCACACCGATAGACGATTGTTGTTTCGGGCCCAGGTTGAAGACGAGCTGGAATTGGCCAGGATTGCGTGCATCTTCTTGGAGATTGAGAGTGAACGGCACCGATTGGGTCTTTTCGTATTGTGGAAGAGGCGTTTCGCGCCCCGCATCAGACGTCTTTGGATCATTGCTCATCGGGTGTTGTTGATTGAAGCGCAAAGGCACAGGAGAAGCGATTGAAGAAGCCTATCGCGATGCGAAAGTCAGCCACCAAAACCGTCACTTCAGCCTTGCGATGACAAAGGGTTGCCCTGCCCGAAGCGAGAGCCATATAGACTTACCATGTTCGCATGGTGTTCACGCCGCGATGCAGGAACAGTCGCCTGAGGGACGCAGAGAGGGGCGACATCTTGCTGGTTTTGACCGGTCCAGGCTGCAGTCAGCTGTAGATTCGACGAACCGGAGAAGACTGCTGCGGTCGTTCCTGCACTGCCACCACTGCTGCAGCGCGATCAACGAGGCTGTCGTGCCGACCCGCTGATTGGCGAACTTCATCAGCCGAACGCAGCCAGCATCACATGCGTGGGTTGCCTCATCTCTATCTGCCTTCTTAACTCTGCCTTACCCGCTGAAGCGTGGATGTACGATTGCGCAGCCTCGATACATTGTAGTACCTGCTTCTCGCCACCAGACGCGTCGCCGGTGTCGTCTTTCTGTGCAAACCTCCTACGCGTCACGCTCTGACACGCCGCCGGAACTCAACAAACCTATCTAATCGTGTACCAGGCGGGATGCGCATCGCGGGATCGCTGAATGCAATGCGCAGTCTGCATCGATGATGTTGAGATAGACTTCGTGGCTCGAGGTAGCGAGCTGTCGCGTTCCATGGCACCCGTGGACGCGCCTTCCCGCTGCCAATGCCGTGCGTCATGCCACACCCATCATCCACTTTCAGCCCCCAACTCCGACATATACACCACCACAACACGACTTCGGCATACCTCCGATTTCCAAGATCTTGGCCATGATGCTCCGGACAGACTCTCGTCACATGCTCTCATCATTCTTCCGGACCAATCTGTTCAGAGTTCTACCTCCGCGCCTCGGCACATTCGATGACTAGGCATTAGCTAAGTTAGCTAAGGCTTGCTCGGTGTATAAACTACCGCTTTCCCCGCAAGACACGAAGATCCTTGTTCCCCACAATTACTCCGGACAGCGGTCTCCAGATTCCCGCCATTGAACGACGTGTTTTGTGCGGAGAGCAAGGATGCTTGCCATGTGTGGCAGGGCGACATGACGTTAAACGGGCAGACTCCGAGAACTACCTCGCACCACCGACCGGGAACAGAGTATCGATCACATGGTAGTATGGTAGATCCCGGTTGACTGGCCGGTAGAGTTGCATTGGCATTTGTTTATATACTTTGTTGATGCCGGCTGCGATTTGGGCTTCATCTTGCACATCTCTCAAGCCTTCAAGATGCGTCTCTCTACCCTCTTCCTGTCGCTCATTAGCGTCGCTACGACCGTTTCTGCGCACCCCAAGAAGGCAGAACAGCCTACATTCTCTCGCAATGTGATCTTCTCACCACCCAGGGACGCCAACTGGACCGACCCCGGTGTCCTTTATGCGCGCAGTGCCCAGCTCCCTGACGGTTCGCTCCTCGCAACCTGGGAGAACTACTCGCCCGAGCCACCAAAGGTCTACTTCCCCATCTTCAAGTCAACCGATGGCGGAAAGTCGTGGAAGGAGTTCTCGCGCGTGCAAGACACAAAGAACGGTCTCGGTCTGCGCTACCAGCCGTTCCTCTACGTACTTCCTGAGGCAATTGGTGGCTACAAGGCCGGCACCGTCCTCATCTCTGGTTCTTCCATACCCACCGATCTCTCAACCACCGACATTGTTCTATACGCCTCCAAGGACAGCGGCAAGACCTGGGAGTTTGTCTCCTCCATCGCTAAGGGTGGAGAGGCTCGTCCCAACAACGGCCTTACTCCCGTCTGGGAGCCTTTCCTGATGATGAACAAGAAGACTCTCATCTGCTACTACTCCGACCAGCGCGAGAACGCCACTTACGGCCAGAAGATGGTTCACCAGACCACCACCGACCTCAAGACCTGGGGCGCAGTCATTGACGACGTCACCTACCCCACCTACACCGACCGCCCTGGCATGCCCACAGTCGCCAAGCTGCCCAACGGAAAGTACATCATGACCTACGAGTACGGTGGCGGACCTGCCATCACCACCTCATACCAGTTCCCCGTCTACTACAAGATCGTGTCCGACCCCGAGAAGTTCGGCGAGGCCACCGGCATCAGTCTCAAGTCCACTGACGGCACCATCCCTACCGGTTCTCCATACGTTGTCTGGAGCTCTGCTGGCGGCAAGAACGGAACCATCATTGCCAGCGCACACAGCAACTCGGAGGTGTTCATTAACAAGGGTCTTGGAGAGGGCCCTTGGGTCAAGGTTGCTACTCCTGAAGCAACCTCTTACACTAGGCATCTTCGCGTCCTCAAGGACCAGTCCAAGTTGTTGATTATGGGTGGTGGAGAGCTGCCCCCTGCCAGTAACAACTCAGTTACTGTTACTGTTGTTGATATCAGCAAGTGGTAGACGGGTTGTATGGGGATAATATTCAAGTAAAATCAGTAGCAATGACATAACATAAACATGAAGTTAAGATTCTTTCAAACAACTTCCAAGTGCTCTGGATGTCGTACAATGACTCCGACAACAATAGTGAGATCATTTGCTCGAGCACGCCAGCATGTTCCTTCTTGTCTAAGATGATATACCTCACATATTTTGATCTGCAGAGCAGGAAAGTCAATATACCAAGTAATGTACCAGAACACGATCGAGGTGCGAACATTTTGCCGGTCGAACAATTGATTAGTCGGTGCCAGCATCGGATGAGACTAGATTACAGTACCAATGGTCTGAGTTCTGGGCGGCCTGTAAAGCATGCACGAAGAGCACCCAATTTTGATATCGGTGACACCGACGGGTTTCGAGCTGTACCAGAGAAGCACCTGTAACGAATATTCAACTACATGATAGAGCGATGACGATGTTCGCGTGTCGATGTTCGCAGGCTCTTGGAAAGAGTGATGGTTCGCGAACCCCACCTAGCGCCCCACTAGCGCCGGCCCGACCATTTTTCCTAAGCGAGCCACCGTGGGTCGCTGAATTTGGCTCTCGCGAGATCTTCAAACGCCGCAGCATTCAACGACAAGCCCACGGAACCGCCCTCACCCCCCAACACCAACCAATACCGCAATCATGCCCGGAGTTTCCGTCAAGGACATCGAGTCCCACAAGTTCGTGGCCGCCTATGCCGCTTTCTTGAAGCGCCAGGGAAAGCTTCCCATGTAAGTTTTACCTTTTCGCAAAAATCAGACAGATCGAATGCTAACATTGTGTCAGTCCAGGTTCGTCTCTATCCAGCGGGTGAAGGATGAAGCCTGAATCCCGTAAATGGGGGATAACCTCAGTTCGCTGACCACTTATCTACAGGCTGGGTTGACACTGTCAAGACAAGCCGTAAGAATCAAATCTCCCCACCTATGCGAGAAACTTCGACTAACGTGCGCAGACTCCAACGAGCTTCCTCCCCAGGACATTGACTGGTTCTACGTCCGCGCCGCCGCTGTCGCCCGCCACGTCTACATGGTATGCAGAATGCCCACCACAACGAACACATGAAGGGACGGAATGCTGATGAATTACACAGCGCAAGACCGTCGGTGTCGGCCGCCTCCGCAAGGTCCACGGCTCCACCAAGAACCGCGGTTCGCGCCCCTCCCACCACGTCGACGCCTCCGGCTCCGTCGACCGTAAGGTCATGCAGGCTCTCGAGAAGATCGGTGTGCTCGAGCAGGACGAGGACAAGGGTGGCCGCCGCATCACACAGTCCGGTCAGCGTGACTTGGACCGTATCGCGCAGACCACTCTCGAGGCTGAGGAGGAGGAGGATGACGAGTAGATTATCACCTTCTACGCGGAATATGTGTAAAAGAGCTGTCTAGCATTTGATTGCGGGGCGGCATTACGGATCTACCACGGTTTACGGCTTATGGCGTTGAAAGACATGATTGAGTCGGGCCTGCTTTTAGCCTAGGACACCAATGACACTGGGCTTGGGCCTCAAAAGCAACATGATACCCTCTACTTCGACATCCGTGCAAATCGTTCCTGGTACTGTGATTCCGCCATTGCTGTGATCTCGCTCTCTTGTTGAAGTTCATGCGCGCTTGACTATGTCAAGTCCAGGAACACACATTGCATATGGTCTGTTAACTTGTCGTGCACATGCCAATCCAATGTCAATATCTCCAATATGCAGTACTCTATATCCAAAGTCCATGCACTCCTGGTGCTCCTTAAAACAGATCCGTCATAGCCCCGTGACTGGCATCCCCAACCAACCTCGCATACTTCGCCAACACACCCCTCGTAACGGGCATACTGGGCGCCACCCACTCCTTCAACCGTCTATCAATCTCCTCCTGCTCCACATCCATATCTATGCGATTCTTCTCCGCATCAATCGTAATCATGTCGCCGTTCTGCACGACGGCAATAGGCCCACCAACCGCAGCCTCAGGACAGATATGACCAACAATGAAACCATGGGAAGCACCAGAATAGCGTCCATCAGTGATGAGGGCCACGTTGGTAAGTTTAGCACCCATGATGGCGGCGGAGGCTTTGAGTTGTTCAGGCATGCCAGGACCGCCTTTAGGTCCTTCGTAGCGGACGACTACGACAACGTTTTCGCCATGCGGGATTTGGCCTAGGTTGAGGGCGCGGTCGAGCTCGTGCTCTTTGTTGAAGACTATGGCTTTGCCGGTGAAGATCAGGCCTTCTTTACCCGTGATCTTTGCGACGGCGCCCGAAGGCGCGAGGTTGCCGCGCAGAATCTCGATGTGGCCGGTGGGTTTGATGGGGTTGGACAGGGGCCGGATGAGGACTTGGTCTTGGGGGAGGGACGGGTAGGATTCGATGTTTTCGGCTAGGGTTTTGCCTGTCACGGTGGGTATGCTGCCGTCAAGGAGATTGGCTGCTACGAGTAGTTTCATGACGGAGGGCATGCCGCCGATGTCGAAGAGGTCTGCGGCCATGTACTTTCCTGATGGCGCGAGGTCGGCGAGGAAGGGGATTTTGTTGGAGACGCGCTGGAAGT